TCTAACTACTTTCAATAGCAAGTTCAGCTGGTGGTTTCAAGAAGGGCAGTTTTGAACTGGTAAGAATATTTCCTTGAAATTTGAAGCCTAGAAACAGGTTAGTATTTTGTTCAAATAGCGACCAACTTAGTTTCTGAGATAAGAAATTAGTATATATATCTTTATTTTTCCTCTTTACATTTGGAATTATGTTGTCAAGTGTTTCCCCATAAACTTCTTTTTTTTTTTTTTTTTGGAGGGGTTTTTGCTATAGGGCGCGTGCACTCGCCAGACAGACAGAGAAAGAGAGTCAGAGAGACAGAAAGCGAGAAATCACCCTCCAGGGGGGATAGCCACGCTGCAATCCCTTCTCCTCCATTCTCCTCTCGGGATCTTGGGCACACATGCACACGCGCCCAGGGTGAGTTTTAAGCCACTGGGTCTGGGACGCGAACTGCAGTCGACTACGTGGGAGTCCAGCGACATAGCCATTACGCTAACTGCTGGTCCCCCCATAAACTTCTATATAATTTATTTTAAACATCATCTGTATCTGAACATTAGAACTTTGATAACCTCAGAAAGTAGAAAACAATGGCAAACCCAGAAGTAAGCTTGTTTTTCATTGAATAAGTACATTTTGTCATTTGTGAAATTTGGAATGGGAAAAGAGGTAGAGGGTTTTTCTTAGACTTCTGTCTGGTGCCAATGTGTTTGCATGTATGTACCTTGAGCAGTTCCTTCTGTAGAGTTCACTCTTCTTTCACAATAAAGTCTGCGGGCTTATGTCACAAGGGGGAGCTGTCTACTTGCTGTTTCTCATAGGTCCTTTGGATTGTCCCTGGGGTTGAAAATCTTTGATGTAACAGCTTTGGCTTGCTTGGCATGTAATGCATGCATGCTTTGAGAAACAATATTGTATGCTGTAAAGGTGTATGGTGATTAAATGTGAATAAAAATGTATATAATAATAATAATAAAAAAGAGAGCGAGAAAGATTTCACTGGGGCCTGAGCTTTCTTTGATACAGTATCTGGGGAAGCTGTTTCCTATTCATCAGGCTTTGTCCTCGTCACGGTGTGTCCAGAGTTAGCAATTTGTGGATGTGAGGTGGTTGATGTTTTCTCTTTTTTGCGGGGGGTGGGCCTGGGGTATGTTGGGATGCTATGGGCAGATAACACTGGAGCCTGGGAGGGGAGGGTGGAAGAAGTGTCATGTGCACGCATAGCCTGAGTGAAAAATGCTTACAAATCTCCTTCTTTCACGACACAGACAACTTGTTTCAGCTCTGTTACCATTGAGTTTTAGGCATACTGAGATGAACTCCACATAGACCTGCTTCTAAAGAGTCACCTATCTGGTGGGGAGGTGGCATATATTTAAAAAACACATTTGGAAAATAGAGAAGACGGAGGCATTAGTCTCACAGGATGAGAATGGGGACATGGGGGGAAGTAGGTGAATCCATTTGCCATTTGATTCATGTTGCTCGAGTGCCTTTGTGTTCTAGGCACTGTCCTTGCACTGGGGATACAGCAGTAAAAGGACCGACCTCTCTGTCTTCATGGCACTTACGTTATAGGGAAGAGACAGACAAGAAAAAGTAACTATGTAACATAGTAGATAGTAGGACCTGAGAAGGACAAAATAAAAGGGGGAATATGAGCATATGCTGGGGGAGTTGCAGTTTCAGAAAGGCTGACCAGGAAAGGCCTCACTGAAAAGGTGGTATTTGAGTAAAGATCTGAAAGAAGTGAAGGAGTGGGTCATGTGCTCACTTGGGGAAGAGTGTTCTTGGAAGAAGAAAAAACAAAGTCCTTGAGGCAGGAATATGATTGATGATTGAAGAACAGCAAGGAGGTCCACATAGACGGGACAGAATGGTGGGGGTGAGCACTGGAGATGAGGCCAGAGAGGAAATGGTGGCCAGCTCCTGTAGGACCTTGCAGGGTACTTTGAAGACTATGGCTCTTCCTGAGTGATACAGGAAGCCTTGGGAAGGTTCTCAGCAGAGAGGTGGTATGAAGTAACAAGACTTGCCATTTTAGAATGGCCCCTGTGCTGAGGACAGCCTGGGGAGAGGGGCAGGGGTGGAAGTGAAGAGACCAGGGCAATTATAGAAATCCAGGTGAAAGAGGATGGTGGCTTACTCTGGTTGGTAACAGTAAAAGAGAAGATAGAGGGGCCAGCAGGTGGTGTGGTGGTTAAGGGTGCTGGACTCCCACATGGCTGACCACTGTTTGAACCTGGACCTGGCGACTTGCTTTCTTATCTTCCCTAGTCTCTCTCTGGTCAAATTTAAATAAGTAAGTAAATAAATAAAATAAAGTAAAAAAAAAAAAAAAAGCAGAAGGAGCTGGATTTCCCAGAGCCCACCTCCAAGAAACTATTCTCTTGACATTTGAAAAATTCTTCTTTTTTTGCAGTAAAATTACTTTCTTAGAAATGTTTGGTCCAGGCTAGTGCTGAAGAGAGTTTGAAGTTCCCGAGCCTGTGTGAACTAGGGATTGGAAACCTGCTAAGAGGATGAATTTGGGGATGAGGGTGCTTATTAGTCTTCTGGACCTGCCATAGTAAAGTCCCACAGGCTGGGAGGCTTAAAACAGCAAGATTTCTTGTCTTACAGTTCTGGAGGCCAGAAGTACAAAATCCAGGTGCTAATAGGGCCTTGCTCTCTCTGAAACCTATAGGGGAGAATCCTTCCTTGTCTTTTCTTTTCTTTTCTTAGAGGTTTTTGCCATAGAACACATGCTCTCATTAGAGAGAGACAGAGAGAGAGAGAGAGAGAGAGCGAGAAATAGTGATGAGGAAAGTGAAAAATCACCCCTACCCTGGGGAGGATGACCAAACCACAGTTTTTTTTTTCTCCATTTTCCTCTCCAGATCTTGGGCATGTAAACACACCCAGAGTGATTTTCAAGCCAACAGGTCTGGGACTTGAACTGTGGTCAGCCAGGTGGGATTCCAGCGATGTAACCACTATGCCACCCGCTGGCCCCCTTCCTTGTCTTTTCTAGCTTCTGGCATTTTCTGGAAATCCTTGGCCTTCCCGGACTTCTAGAGGCATCATTCCAATCTCTGTTTCTGTGGTAACATGGCTGTCTACGCTTCACATCATTTTCTGCTGTGTGTCTGTGTCCAAATTTTCCTCTTCTTATAAGGAAAACAGTATATTGAATTAGGGGCCTATCCTCCACCACTATTATCTCAACTAATTAGATCGGTAATGATCTTCTTTCTAAACAAGGTCACATTATGAGGTACTGGGAGCTAGGGCTTCAACAAGTCTTTCTGGGGGACAAAATTCAACTCTTAACAGTGTGACTGTCTGCCTGAGTATGAAACGCTCCATTTCTTTAGTGTTGACTATGATCTGTGCTTAGAGGGAGCCTGTCCCTGAGAGCCTCCCTTTGTTTTCCTGGCAGTGCTCTCAGAAACGGAGATGTGTGGTGGAGATGGTGGGAGTGAATAGGGAGATGCATTTCTTCATTCATTTGGATCAGAGTTTAGGCTGGAAGCTGTCCACTCCTAGTAGAGAAGGAGAGGGAGTCAGATGGGGTAGGAGGAAAGATGGTCTAGAATCAATGACTTTGGGGATGCTCAAGAGCAGACAGGCTATGTGCCTGGTCTGGGAGGGGACTAGCAGAAGATCTGATTGTTTTCTTTCCTCAAAGTACTAAGTCTCTCTCCCTGGTTCACCTGTATGCAAGATTGGTCCTGGGCCATGGTGGAGGAAAACAAGGGATATAGAGGAGGGAGATGACCAGGTCTCCTCTGGGAGACAATATTTGGTGAGCTAATTTATACATCTAAAACACAGTTATAAGAGATATCTATGTACCATAGCACAAAGATAATTTAAATAGATTTAATTGATCTTTTTAACCAAGTGTCAGTTATAACTTTAGTAGGTCATTATTTTACTATCTGATCTAGTTAGCCAATGTGATTCATTTTGGCCCAGTGTAGAATGTATGAATAGAAGACAGGAGGGATGAGTTTCTAATAGAGACTTTAGAAAGAGGCTTTAATAGCAATGGTCCAAACTTTGACTAATTTCAGGATAATACATCTGGTTCCTTTGGTGGTTGATTTAATTTTTGGAAATGTTCAAATGATTTAGGAGCCATGTGTAACGAACAGAAAATAGCGTTTGGACTAGGAGGCTCAGCATGTGCAGGTGTGACTCAGTGTGAAGGTCTCTGCCCTCTGGATGGGTTATAGCTGGCCCAATGTCTGGACCAGGACACTCTATGCTTCCTGGTGTTCCAGGAAGGGCTTCTCTCTTCACGTCTCAAGGGCCCACCCCACAGAGCACAGGCACACCGCAGGTTGAATGCTTTCACTTTAATAGCTCTGAGCTACAGGGTGTTTAAGGGTTTAAGTCCAGTGATTTCATTATTTTCGGCTTTTTGGGGCTCTATGTGAAAGCTTCCTTAAGTTTGTTAGCATGTTAGCTCCACCTAGAAGAAAAGTTAAGATGAGAATGAGGCTTCAAGGGCTCCAGGTGCCAGCTCTGCCTCTCCCATTCCTCCAGAACTCCATCTTCTGCTTTCCAAACCAATAGAGGGGCTCACGCAGAAGTTAGAGAGATGGAGGTTTGATTCATCAGAGGCTGAAGGACTAACCTTTTCACCCCACCTTGGAAGAGGCAGGAGGGACAGAAGTGAGCAGGCTCTAGAGCAGAGAGGCTGGGGGCTAGACCCTAGGGAGAATCGGTATTGGACAACAATGGCAGTTTGGGTCGATGAGAAATTGGAGACCTCCAAAAAGCACAAAGTGAGGGGAGCTTCCATGGCAGAAGCTATGGTACTTCCTCACTTGTGATGTGAGTTGGGGGCCTGTTCTCTCCTTCCTCCCAATCCTAGATGGTGGGTGGTGAGTGTTCTTGTTCCCACAAAGTCTTGGCTTGGGATGAACTCACCTGTAAAGAATTTTCCCCCAAGGCTAGCAACTTCATTTATTCTGTTTTCTAGTTCTTCAGCGCCCTCCTTTGCTACTGAGTGAGCTGTCTTTGCCACGTTTTCTGATTTTGGAGCAGTAAAATCATATCAGCTGAAAAGTCACATCATTCAAAAAGAGTTCCCCCAAGGTAGCATTCTACCTTCTTCCCCATCCTGGCAGAGGCAAGAGGGTCAGAAGCAAGTAGGTTCTACAGCGGGTGGCTGGGGTCTAGACTCAGGGAGAATCTGCACCAAACCATGGCAGTTTGGATCAATAAGGCACGAAGCAGGGAAGCTCCAATGGCAGGGGCTGGGGCTGTTCCAGATCCCACAGGTGTGGTGAGCTTGGGGGCCTATTTTCTCCTTCCTCCCACAAAGTCATGCCTTGGGCAGTACTCACTTTGTAATTGCATCCCATGCTGAATGGCACTATTTATTTTGTCTTTTACTTCTTTAGCAGCCGCCTGTGCTTGTGAGCCAGTAGCTTCTATTATGGAATCTAATTTTGGAGCAGAAGAAAAATCACATCATTTAAAAAGAATCCCCCTCCCCCTCAAGATAGCATTCCTATACAAATTCCTGAAGTGGAAAAGTTTTGCTGAGGGGCCCAGCCTCTCTCTTGTAGGAAAGTGTGTGGGCCAAGACAGAAACCATGTGTGATGCAGGCAGCGAAATCTACTGTGGCAGAAACCTTGTGCATGGGCGCGCCGTGCACCCCCACTTGTGCTTTGTGTTCAGGTGCTGGAGTATGTCTGAGTCTCCATGGGCTTGTCTCTGTGGGTGGAGGTGTCATGTGGGCTTGGAGCCACAGACTTCTCTAGGCTGTTGATGTGACACAGACAGAGACTTACGCAGGGTGTTCTGCTTTTTCTGGGGGACTTGGTTCTGCTTTCTCTGGGGGCGTTTGGTCGTCGGAGCTACTGTTGAAGTCTTCTGGGTTGTTGTGACTGTCTCTTGAGTTGAAGTCGGTTTTTCTGAAGTTGAGGTCACCTCATCAGCCTTAGCTACAAACACACACACATAATGATTTTAGCAGTCAAACTGTTTTTTTCTCTTTGGAATGGGTGGCAGGCCCTAAGATACCTTCTGTGGGCTGGGTGCTTAGAAATGATGTGGCGTAAATCCTGTCCTCTTAAGGAAGATGAGATTTCCATGTACTGTGTGCCTCCTGGAATTGGGTGGGCAGGGCTTGGGCAGGGCTAACATACGGTGAGAATCAGGGAGCACTTCCGAGAGAAGCTGGCTCTTGAAGGCAGGACCTGGGAAGGGCGGATGTTCTAAAGGGGCTTTCTTGGAGGCACGAAGTGACTCAGGGAAAGACATATGTTGGACAGGTGTGGAGAATGGAAAGGAGTTCGATTTAGCTGATGTGGGTGAAACGTGAAGGAGAGTCATGAAAAATAGGGTTAGAAAATGAGGACTGAAGTCAGATAATGGGTGCCCTGCTGAGGAGATGGAGTTATAGGAGGTGTTCATGGGTGAAGGTATGAATACCATGAGAGACAGTGCCCTTTTCATTTGACCTCATGTTTCTCTCCCTTGGAGTCATGCCAAAGCTTTCTCCCATGTCCCCTGTTGGCCTTGCCTGCCTGGGTTATTTCCTTTGTCCTTAGCCTTGTGACATTCTTATTATTTTAGAATAATTTAATTTTATTGAAATATTATTATTTAAAAAAATTTCTATAGGGCACATGCACTCACCAAAAAGAGAGAGAGGGAAAGTGAAAAGCTAGCCACCAGGTCCAGGATTCAAACTATGGTCTGCAATGTGGGAGTCTAGCGCCTTCACCACACCACTTGCTGGCCCAACCTTGTCCCATTCTAATCCATGCTATTCTCTTTGTTATATTACCAGTTCCTCACCATTATCATCTAAAATAGAACACAAACCCCCTCCTATGGCTTATTTCCCCTGCCTCCACTCACATCCCCAATTGTTAAATCCTCCCACTAAGGGTACAGGCAGAAGGGAGAGGAGGACGCACAGGGCCCAATGGGAATCAAGCTACAAGAGGTGTGACTTTATCCTCCTTCCTTTCTTCCTCAGGATATCACCTGCTAAGTCAACAAGGGCTAGCTGGGGCTATCTGATACTTCCTATCTTGCTGACAGGTCCTTTGTGTACCAAAGCTTTCTCCCATGCCCCCTGTTGGCTTTGCCTGCCTGGGTTATTTTCTTTTGTCCTTAGCCTTGTGCCATTCTTTTTTTAAAAGAATCATTTAATTTTATTTAAATGTTATTATTAAAAAAATTTCTATAGGGCACATGCAGTCATGAAAAAGAGAGAGAAAGAGAGAGGGAAGGTAAAAAGCAAGCCACCAGCTCCAGGACTCAAACCGTGGTCTGTAATGTGGGAGTCTAGCGCCTTAACCACCACACCACTTGCTAGCCCAACCTTGTCCCATTCTAATCCATGCTATTCTCTTTGTTATGTTACCAGTTCCTCACCATTATCATCTAAAATAGAACACAAACCCCCTCCTATGGCTTCTTTCCCCTGCCTCCACTCACATCCCCAATTGTTAAATCCTCCCACTGAGGGTACAGGCAGAAGGGAGAGGAGGACTCACAGGTCACAGAATCTTGGTTAGGAGCAGACCCTGCAGGGTCAGAGGTGCCATCTTCTGCAATAAAGGAAACAGATGCCAGGTTAGGGTAAGGACTGAACCAGATTCACCTGAGCTGCCCTCCCCTCCCATTCCTCAGGCAGCTCTTGGGCACATTTTTGCTTGAACATGCCTTTAAGCCACTTTGGTAGGTCCACCAAGACAGTCTCCCTGATGTTTGACTTTAACCTCTTCTGCAGTTCTTTGAAACAGGTTCTCCTCTGAGAAGTGTAATCTCTCTCAGAACCCTGCCCCCTCCTGACTTGCCTCTGGTTTGTAAGGGTTTCCTGAGACTCCTGTCAGGGAGCCAGCTGTGGCTGGATGAACTCAAGCTCCTCTGTGGTGGAGGAGGACAGTGATGGGACCATGGGGTTATGCCTGAGATATTTCTGGGATTGGGACTGCAATCCCTGTCCTTATTCCCTTTATTCTTTCAATACAATCAATGTTCATGCAAAGTTCTCTGCTAATGAATGACGACAGAGTGCTGGAGAAGGCAGGTAAGACCCCCACTGTGACAGAGCTACATTCTGTTACATGATTATTACTAACATTATTTTCAAGTTTTGTCAGAGGGTGCATGCATTTGCCAGAGAGAGACAGACAGAGGAAAAGGGAGGAAACACCCTCCAATGAGGCATAGTCATGCTGTAATCCCTTCTCCTCCATTACTCCATCCTGTCAGGACTCTGGGCATGCACACATACAAGCCCAGAGTGTTTTTCAAACCTTTGGAGCCAGGATTTGAACCACGTGGTCAGCCATGTGGGTTTCAGCTGCCCCAACCAACAGGCCACGGGCCTGCTTGGTACATGATTATTTAATTACCAGTATAATGGTTCTAGAAGGGGAAAGTACAGCAAGGTGTCATAAAGGCAAGTGGGACTGGGTTTATCTTACATGTTTATGGAAGGTTTTTTATGGAGGAATTTCATCTAAACTGAGATTTAATAGATTGAAACTCACTGGCCAGGTGACATTCCGAGTTGGTTCAGGGAAGAGGACAAGGAGAGGAAAAGTATTCCAGGCAGAGGGAAGAGCAAGATGGAAGGTCTTGATGCTTGAGGACCTGCAGGGTCACCCCAGCCTAAAGGATGCCTTTCGTGTGATTAGAAAAAGTGTTCTTTGCTCTCAGGAGACACAGCCATGGGCCAGCATGTGCTGCTGGAATTGGAGCATGGACCAGATTTTAGCTCCCTCCACTTCTGGCCTGGTCCCCCTTGGGCAGGGAACAATCTGCCTGAGTATATGCAGTGGCCCAGTACACTGCAAGAAGGCCAGTGTGGCTGCAGCACAGGGTAAGGAGAGGCAAGTGAGAAGATGAGTTGGGAGAGTAAGCAAGGGCTGCAGGGAACCTGGTTCCCCTGATTGCTGGGATCGAGAAGCAGCATGTGGAGAACTGGGAGCAGGAATCACTTGCAGAGCCAGGGAAGCCAGGAAAGCATTGGGAGAGAAGCAGAAGGATGCAGCAAGACCTCAGGCCTCCCTGGGCTGCTAGGACTATGGTAGGGGGCAGTGAAAGGGCCATACTCACGGGCATAGACCAGGGTCCCAACCAGAGCTGCCAGGAAGAGGAGATCCGTGAATCTCATGCTTTCTAATGAGGAGTGAATGTAATGACAGTATCCTCAGAGGGTCAGGTGACTAAGGTGCTGAAACTGTTGGGCCCTTTTAAGGACATTAAGAGCCAATGGGAATCAAGCTACAAGAGGTGTGACTTTATCCTCCTTCCTTTCTTCCTCAGGATATCACCTGCTAAGTCAACAAGGGCTAGCTGGGGCTATCTGATACTTCCTATCTTGCTGACAGGTCCTTTGTGTACCAAAGCTTTCTCCCATGCCCCCTGTTGGCTTTGCCTGCCTGGGTTATTTTCTTTTGTCCTTAGCCTTGTGCCATTCTTTTTTAAAAGAATCATTTAATTTTATTTAAATGTTATTATTAAAAAAATTTCTATAGGGCACATGCAGTCATGAAAAAGAGAGAGAAAGAGAGAGGGAAGGTAAAAAGCAAGCCACCAGCTCCAGGACTCAAACCGTGGTCTGTAATGTGGGAGTCTAGCGCCTTAACCACCACACCACTTGCTAGCCCAACCTTGTCCCATTCTAATCCATGCTATTCTCTTTGTTATGTTACCAGTTCCTCACCATTATCATCTAAAATAGAACACAAACCCCCTCCTATGGCTTCTTTCCCCTGCCTCCACTCACATCCCCAATTGTTAAATCCTCCCACTGAGGGTACAGGCAGAAGGGAGAGGAGGACTCACAGGTCACAGAATCTTGGTTAGGAGTAGATGCTGCAGAGTCAGAGGTGCCATCTTCTGCAATAAAGGAAACAGATGCCATGTTAGAGTGAGGACTGAACCAGATTCACCTGAGTTGCCCTCCCCTCCCATTCCTCAGGCAGCTCTTGGGCACATTTTTGCTTGAACATGCCCTAGCCTCTAGGTAGCTGGTCTGCTCCAGATGTAGGGAGTGGGAGCTGGGTAAGTACTTCCTTACTAACCTGTCAATGGGGAAGTTGAGTTCTTCTGGGTTTCTCTTTTCTTTTTTTTGGAGAGGTTTTTTTTAATTTGCTATAGGGCACGTGCGCTCGCCAGACAGAGAGTCAGAGAGACAGAAAGCGAGAAATCACCCCCCAGGGGGGATGGCCACACCACAATCCCTTCTCCTCCATTCTCCTCTTGGGATTTTGGGCATGCATGCACACGCACCCGGTGTGAGTTTTAAGCCACCGGGTCTGAGATGCGAACCGTGGTCGACTGCGTGGGAGTCCAGCGACATAGCCATTACGCCAACTGCTGGTCCTGGGTTTCTCTTTTCTAATCTTTATTTTGGGAAAAATGCTGCCTTGGATTTCCCAAGACCTGTTTAAGGAGAAAATGAGTCAACATATATAAAAGGATTTGAATCACATGGTCAGCCATGTGTGTTTCAGCTGCTCCAACCAGCTGAAACCTGTATAATTGCAGTGGGAAGGTTTTATCCCATCTGAACCAGGCTATGTGGGGGTGTCCAGACCTTACCTAATCAGTGGAACAGGACCTTTTCCTTTGGCAGCTGGTTAAGCTGAATCCTTAATGGGACTTTTTTTTCTCTTTACTAGAGGATAAAAAGGAGAAGTTTTATGACCTACAGGGTTTCCTTTATATGGGCCAAGAGCTTGTCTGAGGAAGGGAAGAGAAGGAGGAACTCACAGAGGACAGAGGTGCACGAGTTTCTCCCTAGCAGGGAGACCAGAGCTGAGACAGTTAAGGGCTCTGGGTATGTCAATCTAGTGTCAAAAATTAATAATGGGCTGGGCCTAGAGCCATTCACTGACCCCTCCCATCCTTACAGAGATTTGGGTGGGTGAGCCTTGAGGAATCTTGGAACTAGGATTCTGGGTTCTGGTCTTTTTTTTTCTTTTTTCTTTTTTTGGAGATTTTTTTTTGCTATAGGGTACGTGCGCTTGCCAGAATGACAGAGAGAGACAGAGAGATAGAAAGTGAGAAATCACCCCCCAGGGGGGATGGCCATACCACAATCCCTTCTTCTCCATCCTCCTCTCGGAATCTTGGGCACGCACGCACACACGCCTGGTGTGAGTTTTAAGCCATCGGGTCCGGGATGCGAACCATGGTTGACTACGTGGGAATCCAGCGACATAGCCATTATGCTAACTGCTGGTTCCCGAGAGTAGGTCTTGATCCACCCTGAATCCCACCAACTTCCCAGGATGGTTGTGAGATAGACTGAGAATTATTCAATTCATATTTCTTGAGTGCTTACTGTGTTGCCCACCAGGCGTGGCCCTGGGGACTCAAAGGCGAATAAGACATTGTCCTGGTCCTTAAGGAGCATCCACTGTGGCAAGAGTTTGGACAAGCAAAGAAAAAAAGGAAGATACAGATTTATAACCCCTTATTTGGAACTTTTGTTTTAAAATGCTACATTTTTCTAATTTTATTAGTTCTTAGGGATTATTTATTACCTCATATAAGGTTATCTTATTGTTAAATATATTACTATTTCAGTGATAAAACTTATGACTATTTATATAAAGTGAGCTAAAGAAGGGCTATAAATAGCATATGTTAGTTTGAGGAAAGTTTTATTACCAAATGAGCTCAGCTCAGGTAAGTTTTTTCCCTCTAATGGTTTGCAAAAGACGTTTTGGTTTTCAAAACTTTTGAATTTTAGAACTGTGTATGAACTTGTGGATCTGTAGAATGAAGTAGTAGCAGGAGGACAGAGGAAACATATATTCTCAAATCCAAAGATCCGGGGATGAACTTCTTTCTGTGCTACTCTTCAAAGTAAGTTGTGTGATTTGGGGAATAACTACTTATCTCAGGTCTTGATTCTGAAATATGTGAATGATAGTTAGGGCTGGTATGAAAATTGAATGAGTAACTTGTGTGAACATACTTTCTAAGCTCTCTAAAGCTGGTTGGGATCCAGCTATCCATCCATCCTTCCTTTCTTTTTCTTTTTTCTTTTTTATATTCAATCACCCTGTATCATTACAGCATACCAAACCTTTCTGCCTTTTTAAAATTTTGCCAGAGGACATGTGCATTCACCAGGGAGAGACACAGAGAGGGAGAGAGACAGAGGGAGAAAGCACCCTCTCCCCATTGTGTGATCACACTATAATCCCTTCTCTCTCTCTCTATCCTGTTGAGATTTTGGGTCTGCATGCACATGTGCCTGGCATATTTTTCCAGCTGTCAGAGCTGGGGTTTGAACCACATAGTTGGCCATGTGGGATCTTGCTTCTTTAATTTCCAGGCTATAAGATGGTCCCAGAATCCTTCCTTTCAAGGGAAGCTGGGGCTTCATTTTTTTGGCAAATACTACTTGTGGCAGACATTGGGGGCAGAAAGATGTCAGTACTCTGTATCTGCAGGTTCTATTTCTGAGGACCACCTGCAGATTGAAAATATTAAGAAAAAGAACCAACAACAATAACAAAATAAAAGAATAGTACAAATAAAAAAAGTATAACTATTTACATTGTATTAGACTACTTATAGTCTTAAAAATATCCATAGATTATTTTAATCTTATACTGCAGACCCTTATTCTCTCTTTCTCTTTTTAAATTTTTGCTGTGGAGCACATATGCTTGCTGGAGAGAGACTGAGAGAGACAGAGAGAGGGAAGTGAGAAACCATCCCACAGGGAGGATTCCCACACAACAATCCCTTCTCCTTCATTCTCCTCTTGCAATTTTGGGTATGCAAGCACATGTTCTCAGCCTGATTTTCTTTTTGGAGATTTTTGCTATAGGGTACATGCACTTGCTAGAGAGACAGAGCGAGACAGAGAGACAGAAAGTGAGAAATCACCCCCCCCCCCAGGGAGCACAACCATGCTACAATCCCTTCTCCCCCATTTCCCTCTCAGGATTTTGGTCACGCATGCACATGCACTGGGCATGAGTTTTAAACCACCAGGTCCAGGACTTGAAATGTGATTGACTACATGCGAGTCCAGTTATGTAACCATCACACCATCTGCTGGTCCCCCTGGTGTGATTTTCAAGCTGCTGAGTCTGGAACTGGAACCACAATTGGCGATGTGGGAGTTCAGTGCTTTAACCACCACCTCATCTGCTTGTCCCTATCCATATTCTTAAAGAATTCAAAAGTGGAGCCAGTAGATGGATGGTACAGTGGTTATGTTGTTGGACTCCCACATGGCCAACGTGGTTTGAGTCCCAGACAGTGACTTGAAACTTATGCCAGGTGTGTGTGCGTGTGTGCCTAAGATCCTGGAAGGAAATAGAGGAGAAGGGATTGCGGTGTGGCTATCCCCCCCAGGGGATGATTTCTAATTTTCCCTCTCACTGTCTCTCTCTTTGTCTCTCTCACACCCTAATGCAAAAAACTCTACCAAAAAAAAAAAAAATTCAGGACCAGCAGTTGTCACAATGGCTATGTCACTGGAATCCTATGTATTCATTCGAGTGCGGTTCGAATCCCGGACTCTGTGGCTTAAACTCATGCCGGGTATGTGTGCATGTGTGTCCAAGATCCCAAAAGGAGAATGGAGGAGAAGGGATTGTGGTGTGGCCATCCCCCCTGGGGAGCGATTTCTTGCTTTCTGTCTCTCTGTCTCTTTCTGGTGATTGCATGTGCCCTGTAGAAAAAAAAAAAAAAAAAAACCCCAAAAAAAAAAAAAGACTCTCAAAAAAAAAAAGTAAAAAAAAAAATTCAAAAGTAACCTTGAGAATAAAGTTGAGCTAATTAATGGTAGGCAGTGAGTAAAGAACAGGAATTCACTGAATAAATGCATAGGCAGAACTTGGCAATTATTATCTGCCCGAGGGTCTGGGCCTAAGAATCTGGAAGGTGATGGTGACCTTACTCAGAATGGGGAGGGCTGAGGGACAGGGGAAACTATGAGCATCAGTGTCCTGGGTGTTCAGGCATGTGTGTATGCATTGTGGAAAGACAAGCCCTGACTCTAGATCCCTAACTGTCTCCGTGAGCATATTAAAAAGTCAATAAGAGCCAACTATGATATTTGCTCAAGATTTTTCTAAGAGGAAATTAGAGCTTTGGCATCAACACTAGAACTGTCACAGAGCGGGGTCTTTCCAAATGTCACTGCTTAGTCCTTTCCCTCTCTCAATCCTCCTGGCCTCAGCAATGAAAGAGGCAGT